GAGAAACAAAAGGCATTTTGAGACCTATGCTTAGAATTGGCACCCTATATTGCTGACCAACAATCATTACCTTTCAGGTCACAGACCCAGACATGTGGGTTGAGGATAAGGACCTTACCTGTTCCATGAGAAGTAGTGAAAATTCATTCAGAAAAAGGCATAAGCACAGGACAAAATGGAGAATATGGGCCATAGTTTGAGGATAGTTCTCTCCTTAAGCTTAAGCATACAGTCTCACTGAATACTTCCCCTGTTCTTTCATGTGAAGAGCACTAGTAGTTCCCCTGTGTAGCTGACTCTGGAATATGTCACCTTTCCTTGTTGGTTTTTCAGCCCATCTGTTAAATAGTTCCCTTCTGTAGACTTTAGTCAACTGTTTATTTTGGATGTGTCACCTGTTTCCTGCTAGGTCCCTAACTGATACAGATATGGAATATTGTTAAATGAAGAAAAGAAGGTATAAAGAGTAATATAAATATAATATACCTTATTTATTTTCTATAAATAAAAAAGGAAGAATATAATTAGATCTATGTATGCTTGACCCTTACACAGTAAGGGTTAGAGGTGCTGAACTACAGGCCATCAAAAATCCCTCATAAATTTTGACTCACCAAAACTTAACTACTATAGTCTGCTATTGACTGGAGGCCTTACTGATACCATAAACAGCTGGCTGACACATATTTTGTGTGCTTAATGTATTACATATGGTGAAAGGTATGTAAGGACTGGAGGGATCACTCTTTACTACTGTATATAATTTCCTAGAGAGACCAACTGCTCACATGGAAACAATTAATGTCACACAGAATTTTAAGCAGGTAGTAACAACACTTGAGCTCACCGTGATGACAGAAGGAGGTGGCTGTAAAATTATTATAGCAGCATAGTATGCACTACTGTCAATTTTATGCAGTTATGATAACACTGCATCTTTACATTTGCTTGCATTTTCTTTCAAGTATGAATGGCATCATGTATGATCTGCATATGTTCTTCAGTTTTGATAAATTTTAACTTTGTATAATAGATTTGTACATGTCTTACAGTAAATGATAAAGTATATTATTATTTGCATGTTTCATGGATTCGTGACATGTCTAACTGTATTTTATTTTTGGTATTTCTAGGCTCTGTGGTTCATCTATGAGTTTTTTCTCAAATTGTGAATCACCAAAATCAGAAAAAAATTAGTGTATAAGTGGACTCATATAGTTCAAACGTAGGTTTTTCAAGGTAAACAGTATTAGCTTTTATTCTCAAAAAGAGAAAGAAGGGCTGGAGGCATACTCAAGTGGTAGAGTCACCTGCCTAACAAGTGAGAAGCCCTGAGGTCAAACCTCAGCACTGCCAAGGAAAAAATTTAAAAAAGAGAAAGAAGAATAATTAAACAATACTTTAAAAATGGCAAAGGAAATAATAAAGTGAAGGGGACAGATGTGAAAGTACAACTTCTCTGAATATACCTTCATTCATATTTTTTGACTCTGAACCTAGTTAATGTTTTACATTATTATAATTAAAATTAAATTATAAAAAAGGAGAAGTAATCTCTCAAAACTGAAAAATAAATGTGCAATGTGGCATATGCCTGTAATCCCAGCACTAAGAGAGGCTGAGGCAGGAGGACTGTGAGTTAAAGGCCAGGCTGAGCAATATAGACAATGTCTCAAAGAAAGGAAGGACTGAAGGAAGGAAAGAAAACAAAAACCTCAGGAAAACAGATATATATATTTGTTTATTATATATAATAATTATATAATATATGTTTATTATATATAATAATTATATAATATGATATACAATTATATTACATAATATAATTATATTTATTATAAATATATATTTGTTATATTATATATATATATATATGCTGATCCTGCAGAGAAAGCATTACTTAGCTTAATTTAAATTTTGACTATATATCCCTAATAAGATATTTTTGGGCTTTTACTATTCATTTTTATTAATTTCATCTTGAATGAATGTTCTTATTGCATACCTCCCTTTACATAAGCCCAAGCAAAAGATTCCTATGGGACCAATCATGTCAGTGGAGGGTGTTCAGGAAAAATAATTTTTCTGTTTTTAAAAGAGGAAAGAGGTAGCTTCCCTGTTCCTTCTAACAGAGATCTCCTCCTTACCTCCCCCCATACTTTTGATATGTAAAGAAAACCTCCTTGGGACCCATCATCCCTCTTGACTCTCAGCTTTTAATGTCATCTCTTGGTTCTCAGATTTCTTTCTTCCAGAAGATGTAAATTGCAGGAAGCCATGCAAGACTTCCTAGTCCCAATGGAATAGTAATGTAAGAACTACGCTTGACTCTCTCCAAGAGATATGAGAAGTTTTACTGTTCTCTCAGATGAGCGCCATTAACCAGACACAATTCTTGGGGTCTATGGAGATGTATTTTTTACTGGGAATCCAGAAAATTTTTTTATTTGTCCACAGACATTTTCTAAGGACAAAATGTACCACCAAAAAAAAATCTTTAATAGAATTCAATGCATTTAATAGCATTCTTATTTTTAGTTCTCATTAACTAGTTGGCAGTATTTACTAAAACTGAAAATAGTCACTCCTACATATATGTACATAGGGTCATATATGTAACATATGTACCACCTGTCTTATAAAAATACACTATGTATACAATGTGTTTATGAAAATATATGCCAAAGAACATTTATAGGTCCTCTGCTTGCTATATCTGAATTGGAAACAATGAACATATCTATAAATACAGAAGAGGTAGACTGTGGTACAGTCATACAGTAGAACACTCTATGTAAGGAGAACAGACAAATGAATTGCATGTGTAACAATGTGCGTGCGTCTCGCAAACAGGAAGCTGATAAGGAAGACAAACATAATGTATCATTATATGGATAACAACATGAAACCTGGGAGAGTATGTTTAGGTTTCTAGACTTGAAGGGGCCACAAAGGGACTCCCTTTCTTGCTTATTTCTGTCGGATTTTAGTGGAGAGAAGTAGAAAATGGAGTCTGTTAAGGAAAAATACGTCATGAGTTCATGTTGATTTTTCCAAATCAAACAGGATTGTTGTGTTTTTACTTTCAATTTTACATTTGTGTCTGTAGTCATATAATGAAAATCATACTGCCTTTTGATGGTGACATAATTACTCATTTACTCACATGATTTAGATGTGATAGTTTAAAATAGCAGTAGCATGCTCACTTGACTTTGATTTATTCTAATGATGTTCCTCATGGAGCCCTTTCATTACAGACACTTCTGGGCCTGCTCCGTACCTCCCTCAGGAATTGACTCCACCATGGTAGGCCCCACTCCCTGCTTTGCTTTGTTTTCCTACAACACACATCACCCTTTCTTATATTGTATTTACTGATTTATCTTGCTTATTGCCTTCTCCCCACCTCCCACAAGATTACCACCTCCTGTTGTGTTTACAGGAGTGCCTCCAGTACCTAGAACAGGGTCTGGACACAGAAACCACCCAACAACTCTTGTTTGTTTTTTGGTGGTTCTAGGGTTTGAACTCAGAGCCTTGGGCTTGGTAGGTAGGTGTTCCTTCACTAGAGTCATCCCTCCAGTTCTTTTTTTGCTTTAATTATTTTTTCAGATAGGGTCTAGCAGGTCTCAGATGGCAATTCTCCTATCTCTGCCTCCCAGAAGCTGGGATCACAAGTGCAGGCCACCATCTGGCTTATTTGTTGAGATGGGGTCTCACTTACATTTTGCCTGGGCTGGCCTTGAACAGAGATCCTCTCAACCTTCACCTCTCAAGTAGCTGGGATTACAGACATGAGCCACCATGCTAGGCAATAACGCTTTCTACTGAATGAAATGTCAGGCTCACTTGCCATCCTCTGAAGTCATTCAAAGCAAGAATTTGGTTTTATTGAAGTATTCACCTGGCACACCCTATAAAAATAAGAATTAGTTTCATGAATTTCCCTTTAAGAAGTCAATTCTAGAATAGTTCCAATGAATAGAAATCAAGAAAAGATCAATTTAATCATTTTTCAGATTTCTTTACCATCTCCCTGCTTTATTTTCTTTGCAGAGTTCTCACATATTCATCACACAGGGCTTAAAGTTAAGTGGTAATGGAGTGTGACGTGTAAGCTTACAGTGTTTAAATATGCATTGCATTCTTAGGTATTTATTTGTATAGGACAATAACAAGGCTGGTGCCAAAAACTGAGATGCATTTTCTTGGTTGGGGAGGGGAGGAAGTGAAGGGGTAGTGACTCCTGAAGGTGGCTGAGTGGACTACATTTTAGAAACAGCTGGTGTGATACAGGAGGTGGAGAGTCCTGCCATATGGAAGCAGTAGAGAGGAGGGCTCCTAGAGCATCTGCCACCAGGCCATTAAATCGATTGTTCTCAGGCTCTTCCTAGCTCCAAGGTTCTAGGAAGGAAGGAGTCAAGGAACAAGGGGAAGGAGGGAGGGGGAAAAGGTCTTCTGGTAGATGAGTTTTTATTTTTTATTTTTAGTAATTTATATGCATTTATTTAGAACCACAATATGCCAAATAGTGCCCTATGGGCTGAAAATACAAGATAGGTCCACAACCATGTTTAAGAAGAGTTTAGAAAACTAGAAGAAAACACAGTGAAACCTAAAGAAAAATCAGCCACCATTACATTCTCCAAAGATATCACTGTTGACCTGTTAGTGTGATCCATTCAAATGTATATGTACATGTATTTTTTAATGAAGGTGGACTCAGGTAGATGAGTTTTTAAATATCTCAAGTAACCTTCCGGCATTATGCTCTTGACGTTGAATACCAGTGCTTTCCTCAGAGGGAAAAGGCTCGGGTTACGTGATTAACACCCTGGGGGACACCTCGCAGGTTCCTTTAAGAGGCAGCTCGGGCCTTCCCACGGCCGGGCATGCGAAGTCCGAGGCGTCCCGGGGGGTGGGTGTGAGCTGGCCAGCGGCCACCGGGGAGGGGCGGAGATGGCGCGGGGCCGGGCGCTTTTCCCCGCCGCCCTGGCAGCCGCGGCGGCTCGGCGGGTATGGCAGAGATGCGGCCGGGGTCAGCGACGGGACAGCAGCTCAACGCGCTGCCGGATCACTCGCCGCTGGTGCAGCCCGGCCTGGCGGAGCTGCGGCGCCGGGCGCGGGAGGCGGGCGCCCCGCTCGCAGAGCTGCCCTTCACCGACGCCTTTCTGCTGCGGTTCCTGCGCGCCCGGGATTTCGACCTGGACCTGGCCTGGCGGGTAAGCGTGCTCCACGCACTCCGAGCGGAGCCTGCCCCAGGTGCAGGAGGGAGCTTTACCGCCTACTGTGTCACCTGCTGTGTCCTTCCAGTCTTCGGGCCAATGGACAAGGGCAATCGAGAAAGTGACCTCCCGGCTGACAGCAAGACAGGAACCTGCCCTAGACAAGAGTCCCGAGCCTGTAAATCTGTGTGTGTGTGTGCGGGGGAGGGAGGGCATGCTGTCGGCTCCCTGGAAGAAATGGAACAGGAAAGAAGCAGAAAGTTCAGAATTGTCAGAGAACTCTGCGCGTGGTGGGGGAAATGAAATTGCCGGCAAAACTGAACATCTGAAGCAATACCCTGGCAAAACAGTATTATTAATAGTAATACTTAAATGTTAAGGCAGTAAAGCAGTCCAATGTATTTGAATACTGGGTACGGATGGGGCGTTCTTTTTCCAAGTGTGTTACAGCTGGTTGAAAGAAGGGACGATGGAAAGGCAGGAATTAGAGATGTGACTTTGAATTTGTCGCTTGGCGTTCAGCGTCCTTGTCTGTTAAATAACGCTGAGAAAACGCTTACCTTAGTGATTGGTTGCAAAGACTGAACTTTGATCTTTAACAGTTAGAACAAAATGTGTCCAGTATAGTGCCTGGCGCAGAGTAAAAACGATCAGTGATTGGACCAGATCTGGCCCATTCTTCCAGAGAAAATATTGTACAGAACTCCAACGTGTCTCAGTATCAGTTTTGTTAAACTAATTTTTATTGAAAAAGTAATTAGTATGGTAAAGAATAATGTAGGTAATATCTGTCATCTCTTTTTTGGTTACTTTCCCAGACATGGTCTATGCTCACACAAGCAGATGCTTGTTTTCTGTATTTTCTTTTCTTACCTGACTTATAATGGGGTTCACCTCATTGAGCATGTACACATATACCCTTTTTTTGGTAGAATTGGGGTTTAAACGCAAGGTTTCACACTTGGAGCCTTGTGGCTTGAACCACTCCTTCACTCCATTTTTGCTCTGGTTATTTTGTTTAGTTTTTTTTTTTTTTTTTTGGTGAGATGGGGGCTTGAATTCAGGGTTTCCAGCTCCCGAAGGCACTCTACCGCTTGAGCCACTTCTCCAGTCCAGTGCCCTGGTTATTTTGGAGATGGAATTTCATGAACTATTTGCCCAGGCTGGCCTCTAGCCAGGATCCTCCCAAGTAGCTAGGATTACAGGCATGAATCCTGGGCGCCCAGCTACATCGTATTCCAAAGGATAGATATATTATATTAAATTTACCTAACCAATCACCTGTTTTTAGACATAGGAATTATTACTACCAGTGCCAGTGCTGCCACACACGCTGTTCATTTCTTCATTCAGTGGTTATTATTATTTTTGTACACCTACAGTTTGCCCACCAGTACAGACGGCACACTTAAGCAAGGCCGCTGTGGCTTCTTCCTCCACTGAGTACGCATTCTAGAATGTCTTCATGCTTCATCTTTGCGTATAAATAGAAATACATCCTTATTAGATACATTCAACCTGCAGAATTGCTGGATGAAGTGCGATGCATATTTTTCAGTGTTGATGAGTACAAACTATATTCCAGAGAGTTTGCCCTACTTTTATCACTGTGATAAAATGTGCATTACATAATGGTGCCTTTTTCTCCATATTTATTACCCAAACACTGTGTTATTAAATATAATTTGTGTGTCCACCTGCTGGGTGAGAAATTATTTTTCATTTTTAGAATAATATGTATTTGTTTTGTTACAAGTGAGGTTAATCGTATTATCTAAATATGTTAATTTTTACTGGTTAACTGCTTGTTTTTGCAACTTATTCATTTTTATATATTTTGATTCATAAAATACCTGTCCGTTTCAAAGAAAATAGGCCTTTGGTCTACGTTGTTGCCTTCATTTAATATTATTTATGATATTTTCTTTCCAAAAAAACTAAAAATTTTAAATATAGTTAATTGTATTGATTTGAGTATTCTTTTATTGATTTGAGTATTTGTCTGTTTGAGTTTTGGTAATGGGGATTGAATCCAGGTGCTCACATCTGCTCTCCCATTGAGCTATACACCATCAGCCCCTACTTTTAGGTTTTGTAAGTTCTTCCATCCAAACTTTTCTCTAGAGATGGATGGCTTCTCTTTTTTACATTGGTTTAGATCTGTTGAGGTTTACTTTGATAATTAGGAGTGAAATAAAAATATAACTTTATTTTCATTATGTTCCATGGTTATGCAAGTGCCCTAACATCAGGAGTAACAAACTAATATTTACTCTGTAGCTTCCTAACATGCAGATGAAATTTCTGAGCCTGTTGTCACTGGGTTATGGCCAGAAGTTTCCTGGCATTATGAGAGAAAGAATTCAAGGACAGACACAGAGGAGAGTTAACAAGAACAAGTTTATTAAGGCAAAGAAAAGTGAAAGTACACTCTTGAGATGGGAGAATGGGCTAGCTCAGGAATAAACAGCTGCCCTGAGGTCTCAAGATCTTTAGTTTTTACTGGGGCTCAAGGACACAGGAGTGGTCATTCCTGGGAGAAAGGAAGGATTTTCCTGGGAAGTGGGTTGTGTGTCATGAATTTCTAGGGACTGGGTTATGTATCTTTAATTCTTTCCACACATCGAGCAGGGAAGTTTTAGCTCATATGGTTAGACCAGATGCACATGGAAATGTCATGATGAAATCCCTTATTTGTAAAAATTAGTATACGCCAATGAAAGAGAAAAAGATGGTTAGACTGGGACTGTCATTGCACCTTGGTTGGTGGAGATTTGTCTAACCTCAATGCTATTATGTGTTAACTGGCCCTAAGGTTGCCTATTAGTCATTACAGCTGCTGGGACTTTTCCTTCTTGTGGAAATTAAGTGTCAGAGGCATGAAAGTGATTTGTGTCTTTGTAGAAGTCAATATTTCAAGTGTGTGGACCCAACTGATTTACTCATGCATTGATCCATTGTTTCATTCTACACATGCATCTATTTCCTCAGAAGCCTAACAGTAAGATAAATAGGCTGAGCACCATGCTTCCATTATCTAAAAGATGTCTTCTAGGTAAAACAGGTTCTTTCTGGAGATGGGTATCAGGAGGAGGGGAGAGGGTAAGTGGAGAGGGTGAAGGAGGGTGAATATGGTCAATGTACTTTGTATATGTGTATGAAAATAGAACAATGAAATCTGTTGAAACTCTCTGAAAAGGGAGGGAGAGGAATGAGGAAGAATGATGGAAGGGGTGAATTTAATTAGGATGTGTTATAAGCACAGATGTAAATGTCACAATGAAACCCCCTGTACAACTAGTATATGCTAATAAAATGTTTTTTTAAATAAAAGATGCCTTCTAGTGAAGCCACAACTTTTATCATTCCAAAGGAAAATAAAATCTTCATTTCCATGTAGTTACCAATATGCTGTTTCCAACATTTTGCTTGAATCAGAGTTCAATGACCTGCTTTTATGTCTGAGAAAACTATTGAAAAGTACTGAGCATTATAAAATGATATCCACATTTACTCTGATGCCTCCTAGGACAGGAGAAGGAAGAGAAATTCATCTTATAAAACACAATGAATATATCAGAACCTACAATGTGGCTGTTGTTCTCACTGCTTTTGAAAATGGCTATTTAGGTCACCAATTATTTCTCTGTTGGCAAATTGACTGGCTTTTTCATTTCTTACTTCTCTGTTGCATTTAATTCTTAGCAACAGTCTATTTTTTTAAGTTAAGAAGAGTGTATTAAGTGAAGAGATGAGAGAGAGAAAGAGGAGGAGACAAAATCAAAGACAGAAGGGAGGGAGGGATAACGAGAAGGAGAAAGAGAGAAAGAGAGAGAGAGAGAGAGAGAGCAACACAAATGACTCTGTCCTCTTCCCCATACCTTGGTGCTGCTTCTCTCATACACCCCCAGCCAGCGACATTTTTCAAGGCTCCAAATTTCACCCTCTACTTATAATTTTTGTAGTTTCTCCTCTAGATTATTACTGTTTTTGCAAACACAGTTGCAATGTTTGTTCCAATGATTTTCAAAGATAAAATGTCTTTTCATTTCATTTGAACCGCTTCCATAATGCTAATAGATCTTTTAAAACTCAAAAACATATTGAGAAGACTGAAAAGTCATAAAGAAGAAAATTAAGGTATAATAATTTCATCTTGCTTAGCTATTTACACTGGTTTTCTTTTTTGGAAAAAAATGGGATTCTTTCTAATCGTAGTTTGCTGAGGTCTATTTATTATCCAGGTGTACTGCTCCTTTGGTTCTCCTAATTAATTTGATTTATTTGTATTCTTCCTTATTTCAGAAAATACTGAAGGTACTGTTTCAGTTGTCTTTTACTAAGTAACAAATCTCTCCAAAACTCATTGGCTTAAATCACAACTTTCTTATTTGCTTGTGTTCTCCAGTTTGGGCAGGGCTCAGTGGGGATGGTTCTTCTCTGCTCTGAGTGGCCTCAGATGGGAACCTGATATCTAGGATAATTTCTCATTCTCCAGGGCTTCTTACCACGTGGTTGGTCACTATTCAGCTCACATTCAAGTGGAGGGAATCAAACAGACCTCACCTCTTGCTGGAAGGAATGAATGTATGTCCCAGGAGGAAAGACTTTGGGCAGTTGTCTTTGGAGACTATGTAACATAAGTGGCAAATGAAAATTACTCAGCCTTAAATTTATGATTAACTCTTATAACTTCAGAACTTTGATGAAGGGGACTTTGGTTTAAACAGCTCTAAAGTTTCCCCAGATTAAAATTCTGATAATGGATGGGAAGCTTTATATACAATATCAAGGTTTTACTACTGCTTTTACAAGATTCTTACCACCTATGCCATCTATGAATGATATTAATTTTATTTTTCAGTTGCTAAAAAACTATTATAAATGGAAAGCAGAATGTCCAGAATTAAGTGCAGACCTGAATCCTAGAAGTATTCTTGGCCTTTTGAAGGCTGGCTACCATGGAGTTCTGCGATCCAGGGACTGCACAGGCAGCAGAGTTCTTATTTACCGAATTGGTGAGTGGTACACATCTTTTCTTCCCCCTTTTGCTTCCCTCTACCCTTCTCTTTCTTCTCCTCCTCCTCTCTTCTTTTCTTCTATTCTTCCTTAGCTTCATATAGAAAGCTTTAATGAATTTAGGTTTAATAATTTAGGTTTTAATTTAAACTTTTATGTTTAACTTAAGTTTAATTTAGGTCTTAAAATTCCCTAAACATAATAACATTTTAGCCATTGTAAGACTTTAACAGAAACCAGTGAACATCCTACTTTCATTTTCCCACATAGTCAACTGTATAAAAAAAAAAGAAATGAGAAAAGAAATGGAGGGCAAAAGTAAAAAAGAAATACTTACTAGAAAATACAAGAAAAAAATTATGAACAATAATAACTTAAGCTCCATGAGGTCAAAGATTTTGTCTGTTACATTCATAACATTCACTGATATATCTCAAGCACTGAGAACAGGGCCTGGTACATGGAAGGTACTCATTTGTGGAATGAGTGAATGACTACTTCAATGTCACCCACAGTTGAGGAGCAAGAGGCTCATTCCCTCAGATGGAGGAGGATGTAGGGGACTCACCACCCTGAAAATTGCTACAGATGCTGTACCCCATTAACTGCTGTTTTTTTTTATTATTACTTCTCATTTTTCATCTTGAGGTGTTTCTAGTGTTTCTTGTGGGTTGCTGTCTTATCTGTTCAGGTGACTACAATAAAGTGTCATAGACTGGGGTGGCTTATAAAAATAGAAATTTAATTCTCACAGTTCTGGAGGATGGGAAGTCTAAGATCAAGCAGATTTGGTTCTGAGGAGGGCCTGTTTTCTGGTTGTTGGACAGACATTTCACCCTAGTCTCGCATGATGCAAGGGACAAACAAATGGAGTTTTTGTATTTAGTATATTTGATAGAGTTTAAAACCAATTACTATCCTACAACAGCAAAAGTAAAATTTATCGATGAAGGTGAAATTTTGACTGGCTTAGTTCTTATGAATAGAATTATGGGGCATGTTGCATGGTTAGAACCTCAGTTCTACTATATTTAGCTGCATGGAAAGCTATAACTATTTTCTCATGTGTAATAACCTATCACATAAAGTTGCTGTAAGCATTAAATCTTATTTTATAAGCACACATACATACAGACACACATAGTTTATAATAAGAGCATCACCTAGTATATAGGCACTCAACAAATATTAGGTAGATGCTAGAGAAGGAATTTTTAAAAATTTTTTATTTTATTCATATGTGCATACAATGTTTGGGTCATTTCTCCCCCCTTCCTCCCACCCCCTCCCTTAATTCCCCCCCCTTACCCCTCCTTACCCCTCGCTACCTGGCAGAAACTATTCTGCCCTTGTCTCTAATTTTGTTGAAGAGAGAGTATAAGCAATAATAGGAAGAACCAAGGGTTTTTGCTAGTTGAGATAAGGATAGCTATACAGGGAGTTGACTTGCATTGCTTTCCTGTACATGTGTGTTACCTTCTAAGTTAATTCTTCTCGAACTAACCTTTTCTCAAGTTCCTGGTCACCTTCTCCTATTGGCCTCAGTTGCTTTAAAGTATCTGCTTTAGTTTCTCTGCATTGCGGGCAACAAATGATATCTAGTTTTTTAGGTGTCTTACCTCATACCTCCCTTGTGTGCTCTTGCTTTATCAGGTGATCAAAGTCCAATCCCCTTGTTGTTTTTACCCTTGATCTAATGTCCGCATGTGAGGGATAGGATCATGTCATATGCAAATAGGGATATTTTGACAGTTTCTTTACCTGTTTGTATTCCTTTTATTCCTTCTTCTTGCCTAATTGCTCTGGCTAGGAATTCCAGTACTATGTTGAATAGGAGTGGAGATAGTGGGCATCCTTGTCTGGTTCCTGATTTTAGAGGGAATGGTTTTAATTTTTCTCTGTTAAGTATAATGCTGGCTTTAGGTTTGTTATATATAGCTTTTATTATGTTGAGATACTTTCCTTCTACTCCTAGTTTTCTTAGAGCTTTTATCATGAAATGGTGTTGGATCTTATCAAAGGCTTTTTCTGCATCTATTGAGATGATCAAGTGGTTTTTGTCTTTGTTTCTGTTAATGTGGTTTATTACGTTTATTGATTTTCATATATTGAACCACCCCTGCATTCCTGGGATGAAGCCTACTTGGTTGTGGTGAATGATCTTTTTGATGTGTTGTTGAATTTGGTTTGCCATTATTTTATTGGGGATTTTTGCATTGATGTTCATTAAGGAGATTGGCCTATAGTTCTCCTTTTTGGAGGTGTCTTTGCCTGGTTTTGGGATAAGTGTAATACTGGCTTCATAAAATGTGTTAGGCAGTTTTCTTTCCCTTTCTACTTCATGGAACAGTTTAAGGAGGGTTGGTATCAGTTCTTCTTTGAAGGTCTGATAATTCAGCAGAGAATCCATCAGGTTCTGGACTTTTCTTTTTGGGGAGACTCTTGATTGCTGCTTCAATTTCATTTTGATTATAGATCTATTCAGGCGGTTAATATCCTCTTGCTTCAGTTTTGGATGATCATATGTATCTAGAAATCTGTCCATTTCTTTAAGATTTTTGAATTTATTTGAATATAGGTTCTTGAAGTAGTCTCTGATGATTTTCTGGACTTTTATGGTGTTTGTTGTTATCTCCCCTTTTGCATTCCTGATTCTACTAATTTGGGTTTTTTCTCTCCTCAGTTTAGTCAGTTTTGCCAGGTGATGGTCCTGGGGTTTGAACTCAGGGCCTAGAGCTTGCTAGGCAGGCACTCCACCATTTGAGCCATTCCACCAGCCCAGGAATTAAATTTTTATTTATTTTTTTTAACCTTAGTGGAACATAAAGTCTAGCCAGCACTGTCCACTAGAATTTTCTGTAACGATGAAGCTGTTGTACAACAACCACCAGGCATATGTGGCTATTGAGCAATTGAAATGCGGTTACTGCAACTAATAAACTGAATTTTTAATTCAAACTTGAATAGTCACTTGTGACTAATGAGTACTGTATGGATAGCACAGGTCAGACAAGTTGGTTGACTCAGAAATTTAGGTCATGAACTATTTTCTGACCTGCATGCTTCATTTGTTCTGCTCATAGTTTTCATCATTGTAGCATTCAGTGAGTATCTGAATTAGTGTAGTATTTTTTGATCTGGATCGATTATTCAAATCCTTACCAAGAATCTTGAGATTTTTTAGAAAGCAAGTGCGATCCCATTTGCCTTCCTAGGTGTCCTCGTGATTATCTTTTCTCTTTCCAGATCTTTATCTTCTTCCTTGCTAATAGATGCTATCAAAGTAACATTTCAATCTGTTAAAGTTCAGCCATCCCAAAGGAAAAAAAATTTGTCCTCAATCCCACAAAATCCTTAGGTTCTACCCCAGCCATCTCCCCTCTCCTGTTCTAAGCCAATCTTATAAGTTAGTGATATTCAACATTCGTGCTTTCTCACAGCTCCTCTTCCACTCATTCTGATCTGCTTTCATTCCCACCTATGCTGAAAAGACCTTATGTAATTGCCAGAGAACTTTTCATCAAATCTTACTGTTTTTCACCCTCTCAGTTGCCATATTTTCCTTTAGCCTGACTGGCTGCTCTTCTTCGCCTCTTTTGCTGTCATCACTTGTTTTACTCACACTTTACATTATGAAATTCTTTAGAACATCTGCCTCAGACTACACTTCATATGCTGCATTATTTTTTTGGCAGAACTAGGGTCTTGTACTTTCTAGACAAGCACTCTACCACATGAGCCATGCCCCCAGTCCTTTCTGGCTTTAATTTATTTTTCAGGTCTTGCACTTTTACCTAATCTGGAGTCAGACCACAATCCTCCTATCTTTGCCGCCTAAGTAGCTGGAATTATAGGTGTGAGTCACCACAACCAGCCTTATTTCTCCTTTATAGCAGAGAAAACATAGATCTAAGACAATCTCTATTCTAGATTGTCCTATGAACCCAAAGAATTGCCAGAATTGTGCCTTCACTCCCCGCTTTTCTCCCTGGTTGTCCAGATCTATCTCTATTCTAGCTATATCCAGTTGAATGTCTTAGTCACTAGTTTCCATGTTCATATTCATGATTTTTTTTTTTTTTACCTAAAGCGCTTCTCTTCTTCCATCTCAATAAATGGTACCATTACCCTTCCCAGTTGCCCTTTCTTGAACTTGGGCCATTACTTAGTTATGAATCATTTTTGTTTTTAATGCCACCTATTAGGTAATCATGGACCCTTCAATCTGAAGACTTAAATCTCCTTTTCAACTATGGGAGAATTTTCACTACTGTTACTATTACCCTCTCCTCTGTTTCCTGATCTCTGTTATTACCTTCTAAGTGGCTTATTAGTTGGATGTTGAAAAATTTAAATTTAGCTGCATCTGTCTCTTTTCATTCATACTTATCAAATCTTGCTCTTTTTTAAATTTGTTTATTCATATGTGCATACATTGTTTGGGCCATTTCTCCCCCAGTCCTCTGTCATCTCCCTCTTCCCCCCCCCTCGCTTCCAGGCAGAATCTGTTCTGCCCTTATCTCTAATTTTGTTGAAGAGAAAGTATCAAATCTTGCTCTTTTGTGCTATGTTTGAGAGAATTGCTCTCCCAAAGCACTATCCAAAATCTGTCTTTTCTATCATTTATCTCATCAATTAATTTTTTAATTGAATTATCTCTTTATTTCCAAGATCTCAATGGATTCTTCTTAATAACTGCCTATACTGATAATTTTCAGTGTCCTCCTCCCACCCCCAGGAAATCTATTATGTTTCTTTTAATGTCTCATGCTTTTTTTAAAAAACTATTCCTTGCAGTTTTGTTGCCATTGTCTATGGAGTTTGATATGAGTAATATTACATTTTAATAGATGCATTTTTTTTAGATTTGCCTCTTAAGAAAATGCTTTAAGATTTTGTTGGCCAGTCTGTTACTATCATTTCTGCCTTCCAATGGCCTGTCCCAGGTTATGGTGGGTGAGGAGTATGGACAAGAGTGTCAGTACCTCCTCTCAGCACAGATGCTCCTTGTTTTTCCTGGATGTGTACTGCTACCTGGGTGCTTCCCCAGGTTTTCTTTCCAAGTCCAACTTTTTGTCCAAGCCTGTGGGGACATGACTGTGCTATGTGCTGTTTGTCACTGGGATCAACCTATTTATCTGCTCCCCATACATTTCCATTTGCAACCTCTTTGGTTGCTCTATTGCTGTGACAAAATGCTTGAGAAAACCAATTTGAAGAAAGATTTATCTTGGTTCACAGCTCCAGAGGTTTCAGTCCATGGTCACTCAGCCTCAACACTGTGGGCCTGTGGCATGGCAGAACATCATGGCAAGTAGAGCACAGTGGGAGAAAACTGCTTAGCTCATAGCAGCCAGGAAGCAAAGAGAAAGAGGGAGAGGAAGAGCTTGGGGACAAAATGTACCCCTCAAGGGCATGCCTCCAGTGACCATTTCTTTCACCAGATCCCATGAACCAAGTTTTTCAGTACCTTCCAATAGCCCATTAAACTGTGACCCCATGAATGGATTAATCTATTGTGGAGTTTAGAGTCCTTATGATCCAATCACCTTCCAAGGGCTCCACTTATGAACCCTGCTGCACTGGGGACGGAACCTTAAACACACAAGGCTTTGGTGTACATTTCAAATGCAAACTACAACAGTTACTACAGGACCCTCACTACTGCTCACAATCCAGGTCCTTACTCTTCCCATTTCTAACACTTCTGAGCTCAGAGCATAGTCAGAGGCATTTTCATCTCTAGGCACAGCTCTTTCCTGCACATGAACTTGGGATTCATTTGGCAATCAAATCCAACTTGTATTCATTCTGTTTCCTGCAATGCTCTGAAAAAGCTGTTCTTTGCCAGGGATTGGAGGAGGGAGAAAGAAGCAGGCACCTATTCTTAGATCTCAGGTAACCTATTATTCAATACATTATCCTTTGCACATGTTTTTAATTATACTGATCTTTTAAGTCTAAAAGGATTTAGTGCCCATAAAGAATCTTTCTTAGTCTTTACACAATGCTAATATATGATATACTTTTTTTTTTAGCATATTGGGACCCAAAAGTTTTCACAGCTTATGACGTATTTCGCGTAAGTCTAATCACATCGGAGCTTATTGTACAGGAGGTAGAAACTCAGCAGAATGGAGTCAAGGCTATATTTGATCTAGAAGGCTGGCAGATTTCTCATGCTTTTCAGATTACCCCATCTGTAGCCAAAAAGATTGCTGCTGTACTAACAGTAAGTTTATAATTTAATTGCTAGGCACAATATCTCCAAATAATAGTTTTTAATTTTGTTAGTACATTTATTAGAAATGGAAATAAAATGTTAGAAATGATACATATAATTTAATATGCTAATAGGAAGTATAATTAACTTATTAAAATGTAAAAAACTACAAAAAATAAATATGTTCAAAATTAGCAACCACTGAATTTATACATTTATAAATATGATCCTATTTTCTTGTCATTAAAATTTTCTTCCAAAATTAAAAAAAATTGGCTAAAAATATTTGTAATGGCACAAGGTCCTTAATTCAAACCACAGTATGGCAATATATGTACATATATCATATATATGTGTGTTTATGTTCATATATATATATATACACATCTATATGTATGTATGTATAGCAGTGATACAATAAAACGTCACATAAGTCTTGGTAGGTATAAATTGATAAGGCTGTTTTCAGAAATCAAAAGGTGTTTTTTTTTAAAATTTTTTTTGGCCATTATCTTTGACCTAGTAATTTTATTTCTGGGAACCTGGCTAAAGAATAACCTTAAATATACTAAGGGCTTTGTATATTATAATAGCAATAATAACTTACTATGTGCTGGGTACTTTGCTAATTATTTCAAATGCATTTTCACTGAATGGTCAAACTGACTGTTGTTTTCCACATTTTGCAAACTAATAAAGTATGTCAGAGAGGTGAGAGCAATGCCTAGGCACAGGGAGTGTGTCAGTAGAGAAGTAAGGATTACAGCCTAGGTCATCTGAATGTAAATGTCATGTTTATAACCACCACTCCTATTGTTCATAAAGACAGTTACTAAAATTAACTTTTAGTAGAAAAAAATATAATGGAGGGGGTGAACTTCTTCAAAGTATACTGTATGCATAGATGGAATTATCACAATAAAATACCTTTGTATTATTAATGCATGCTAGTTCAAAAAAAAAAAACCCCAAAATTTAAAAATAAAATAGAATAAAAGAGTTCTTATTACAATAAAATGAAAATTAGAAACAACTTATTTGCCAGAAATAGGAAAATGATCACTTAATTATGGGATATGCATTGCATGGATTATTGAAATATTAAAATTCATAATGTTAAAAACAAGATGCAAATTGTTTAGTGATTGTATTAGCAATTATATTTAAAATAAAATTATAGAAAAGACCTAGAAGAAAAAGCCCCAAACCAATAACAAATATCTAAAAACTGGACATGAAAAAAAAAAAAGTAAAGAGTTTTGTATGAGAAAACCTTGAAAGAAAAAGTCTGTATATTAACAATACAACTTTTGGGTAAGAAAACTACTGATGAACTTTTAAGTCAACTTTTGAAACTTCTTAAATAAGTCTATATTACTTTGATGCTAAAGATGTATAGCAATTTCTAAAGTTTAAAAAGTGTGTGTCTATTCTTTCAATCTTTATGAACATTTGATTATTCTCTCAACCTTCTTTTGGCAAAAATGTTAAATTATAAATGTTCAAAATGGTTGCTATTTCCTTAAGAGAACATTTACATGTGATTTGGGAATGGATTTTCCAACAAAAGTGTGAAATTATTTCTTAAAGTACTTTGTCTAAGGCATAGAGAAAAACCTTTTTAAAGATCTTTTCGATCTACTGACAATGAACTATAAGCTGGGCTTTTGTGTTGATGGAATAAATAATTTTGAAAAAAAATCACACCTTAGTTACTGCTATAAGTTTAGAAAGTGTACAAAGAAGAGACTTATCTTTAGGAATATAATTGCAGTTCTTATTTATGCTGTTAGTAGAATTTTTTTCTTTATTTTCAAAAGGATTCTTTCCCACTGAAAGTTCGTGGCATCCATTTGATAAATGAGCCAGTAATTTTCCATGCTGTCTTTTCCATGATTAAGCCATTCCTGAGTGAAAAAATTAAGGCACGGGTAAGTAAAACATATTTAAATCATGGTTCCTTTACACTAAACATTCCAACCCCTTTTCATTTAAGGATTGCTTGATTATCGTCCCCCCCCAGCCCACCAACACACACCATTGGTCCAATATTTTGAATGTTTCTCTAAAATGCCAAATACTCCTACAAATTAAAATTTACTTTTAATTTTGGAAAAATCAAGTGTATTGGTTAAATTTGTGAGGAAACTAGGCTTTTCATATTTTACTGATGTACAAGATGTCATATTCCCTCTAGAGGGCAGTGTGGCAGTAGTTACCACAATCACATTTAACACTTTGGGGAATTTATCCTACAGACATAACTGCACTCAAAAAACTAACAAGCATTCATCATTAGGGGACTGGTTAATCAACTATGATCCGCCCACACAATGGAATATGACATAGCAGGATACATGTAAAACAAAATACACAAAAGGCAGAATAGTATTGATGGTACGCTACCTTTTCTATATAAAGGAAATAATCAGAATATATATAGTTGTAGTTGCATGAAAATGACATTAAAAGGATATACATATTAGCTATAGGGAACCAAGTGGAGATAGATGAGGTTAAGTAGGCTGGATAACGATAGAGTGGGTAGCATGACATCTCACAGGTATTGTTATCTTGTTTTGATTTCTATGTGAATGTATTATGTATGTAAATGAAAAGAAGTATTTTCCTAATTACACATGTAACTGAAAATCACAACACTCTGGGGTGTATGACTTAATGTCATGCTAGTTAAAATAAAGCACTTTGATATATTTTTTAAAAACCTATCCCATGGTATTTTATCTCAGGTGAATTTCTAATATCTTTTAGAATTTTTGAAAGGTTGAAAAGAGACAGCACCCATTCACCTACATTAATATGTACAGGAGAATTCTTAGAGCTTTTGTTTAGGGCCTCACTACATTGTCCACCTGGTCTACCTGGGCTCAAGTGATTTTCCTATCTCAGCCTCCAATGTAGCTGGGACTACAACTGTGTGCCACTGTGCTGCATTGTCACAAAATAGTTTTTAAAGACTTTTGTAATTTACATCTCAAAAACCGATCAAATACAAATAGTGATAACATGAATTAGAATAGGATATTTGGAATTTTACAAGTTATATTCTTTCACCTTAAAAAAAATAACATCTTATATCTGGTCAGAAAATTAAGACCCTAGAGTTTCTTTGCAGGTTATCCAAGGGGTATTTCTGTCTTTAAGAAGAATGACTCTAAATTATCTGCTTTAGTAAAGTTGGCACTTTTCATTCCAGTATTTTTAGAAAAATCAGTCTTTTTATTTATTTATTTTTCTCTTCAGTGTAACTTGATAAGAGCTAGCCAGCCTTTGTTTAACTCTTAAAGATTTAAAAATAAACATTTTTATCTTGGGTTATATTCTGGAAAAATAAAAACAAAAAAAATAAGAATAAAGTGGACCTAATAAAAAAGGGAGAATGTGGACAAAAAATCATTTTTTTCCTTTTCACGATTTTGGCAATACTATATAATTTTTTAATTTCCCCTTTCCTGAGAAGATAGAATTTCGTCTCAGTTAGCTAGTAATATTTTAAACATCTCAGAACAAAATCCAGGATTGGGATTTTGAGTTTTACTCATTTCATTCATCAGTCTTCATATCCTAGCACATCTAGGTGCTTACTAAATGGTTGTTGAATTCATGAGCATTTTGCTCTAGCAATGGAAAAATTTACTTATTTGTTTTAGGAAGATGCATGTTAGCTTTCTATGGCTTCATCTTTAGGGCAACGTATGGACAGTTTTTAAAGCTTAAAACCCCCCAAATTTAAGATTTTCAACCCTCATAATTTCTCAATGTTGTACTGTCCAAGAATATCCATTGACTATATCACACAAATAATTCCTCATGAACCTAATTCTGGGCTTAGATGTATGCTTCTATTTACTATAAATTAATAGCAGTAATACATTTTATCATCCTTTTATAAATCTTAGGTAATTATCAGAATGCAAACCTAAGAAAGAAATGAAATTATATGATTCATAGCAGCCAGCTTAAACATATGCAAAACTTAGATTGAAAAGCAGAAGAATAAAGGATGTACTTTCCTACCTTGAAATTATTAGTGTATCTTATTTAATGAGGTTGATTTTTCCACTGGGAATGCATCTAATATAGTGAGAGGCGTAAGGGATACCTTCTAAAACATTTTGGCTATTTCAGATTCATATGCATGGGATGAATTTCAAACAAAACTTACTTCAGCATTTCCCCAACATTCTTCCTCTGGAGTATGGTGGTGAAGAATTCTCCATGGAGGACATTTGTCAGGAGTGGACAAATTTTATAATGAAGTCTGAAGATTACCTCAGCAGCATTTCTGAGACCATTCAATGAAATATTGTTTCATGTGAATGACTTCCAAATTAAAAATTTAAGAGCTCCATCTAATTGCATAAATGAAAGAGCAAATCTTCTAAACTAATTAATGCTTGTCTGATCTTTAACAATGTAAAAAGAAATCTCTGACATGAGTAATATGAGTATTTGGGAAGATTTTTTACTTTTGAAATAATTAGTACACCTTAAAAGGAAAGAAGAAATACCCAATTTTTGCACTGAAAGGGATAACATAATTACTTCTAAAGTGACTGTTCATATGTATCTTTGCGTATCTTTTTGCATATTTCTAGAAAGTTTCATTTTAAACAAGTTTTTCTGATTACATTATTTATTAATAGGTTTATAAATAGCCCACTGAAAAGAAATGCTGCACATATCAACTGAGATAAAAAAAAAAACCTATCAATGCTTATTTTGGGTGGGGGTGTCAGATTAGCTTATAGTTCAGACTGAAATCTGAATACAACTTCACAGTTATTTTCGTGGGCCAGCAAGATAGTCCATCTCAGGGAAATTCTATTTTAGCACATTTGCACAATAAATTTGTTGGACCAAAGAGTCTATATGCCACACTATTGTACATAATATCGATAGGTCTCTGGGAAATTACTCATGTCAATGTAACTGATTAAAATTTTAGAACATAGGCAGTTTGTGACTTTTTAACATTGTTTTGCAATTTTAAACAAATCAAGAATGTAATCTTGACTTCTCTTTATGGTTATTCTTCTGACTACATAGAGATTTAGAGAGGGAATTATTAGGTATATACATGGGCTACTTTCAGTTGGACAATTAACAGAACCACATAAAGGAAAGGAAATGTTTACATTTTGTGAATAGCTGTCAATTATAGCTGATAATTTTCATATTATTCATAAAATAATATGGATTTTACAGTTATATCAGAATATTCAAGCTAAACCACACAATTTGTACTTAGTGAAAAATTAGCAGTTAGAATGTGTTGTTTGTACTGTAGTTTATGTCAAAAAATTTCATTTATCAAGAAAGATAGAATCTCATTCCTTATATTCAATAAACTTTTCAATTTGTGACATAACTTTTATACTTTATATATTATAAATAATTTTATTTTAAACTTGAAAATAAAAGAACATTAGGTACTAAATTTGTTGAACATTTATTCAGCTAACTATTTCAACATTAACTCTACAATAGTATCTTTGTGTGAGGATATTTTTCATTGTACAGGGTGTTTTTCTTTATAAGAAAATTAGTCTAATCAGCTCAACTGATTAGATACTATTGTAGAGTTAACTTTACATTATAATTTTTATTTAAAAGATTAGATCATGTTCATTTTCTTAAAAATACTAAGTCTTTACACAATCATACAATTTAAAATAATAATGGAAAACATACAAAAGAATAAAGAGTAACAGCAACAGAACACCTCTGGCTTATCCAACTTTTATTCCTCAAAGGAGGTTTATATCACAGGTTCTACTTCATTTACATTTGGCTGTGTAAAACACTTTCTCATGACTTTGCAAAGGAATGGTTAGTTAAAATGAAGAGTAACATTTAAAAATATCTCTTCAGTGTGATTCTTACTGATATAATTATCAGTAAATAGAATTAAGTTAATCAATATAGGTACATATTATGATGGTCCTTTGAAATTGTTATAAAATGAAGCAATTTTCTGAAAAACACTATAGAAGAAAATGTGAAATGAGTAGGCAATTTTATGAGGTGCCAAGGTAAATAACTGTCTAATTGTCTATGCTATTTATTGTGATTATACAAGAAGTGCCCTTTTTTTTCCTTTTATTATTCATATGTGCATACAAGGCTTGGGTCATTTCTCCCCCCTGCCCCCAACCCCTCCCTTAGTACCCACTCCGCCCCCTCCTTCTCCCCCCCACCCCCTCAATACCCAGCAGAAACTATTTTGCCCTTATCTCTAATTTTGTTGTAGAGAGAGTATAAGCAATAATAGGAAGGAACAAGGGTTTTTGCTGGTTGAGATAAGGGTAGCTATACAGGGCATTGACTCACATTGATTTCCTGTGCATGTGTGTTACCTTCTAGGTTAATTCTTTTTGATCTCACCTTTTCTCTAGTTCCTGGTCCCCTTCTCCTATTGGCCTCAGTTGCTTTTAAGGTATCTGTTTTAGTTTCTCTGCGTTAAGGGCAACAAATGCTAGCTAGTTTTTTAGGTGTAAGAAGTGCCTTTTAAAATGTTAACTTCACATACACTCACTGTGTTACTGAACTGCACAATAATTTATTTTAGTATTGTTCAAAAAATTAAATATCTTTCATGTGAACCATTACATGTAGAGGTTTTTTGTTCATTTTAAAAGTATGAGACAGTGGAGGGGGTGAATTCAGGTATGACATATTTGATACATTGTAAATGAATCTTTGTAAATATGACAGTGTACCCTCACCCAGCACAATTAAAAAAAGAAAAAAAAGCATGAGACATTCTTTTTCAAAAGTTATGTTTCCTTTCAGAAAAATTTAAGAGAAGCTTACCACGTCTACTTGTCTATTATACAAAAGTCAGTTTTTCCTTTTTAAGTTTTAACTGAAAGCTCATTTTTCCTGTTGCTTGGTCTTCTATTACCTT